AATGGTGGTAAAGTACAAGGGGTATGAATATGTTTTCAAGGCACTGTGGTTTAGCTGTCAAGTTTTGTTTTTCCAGAACAATACATCTATTGCAGGGGAGTCAAACCCACTTACAAAAGGGGGCAAAAATTTAAACCTTTGTCAAACTACGGGCCGGATTCAGAATCTACATGAACTCAAGTTAGAGACCCAACATCTTTTCTTGGTTGCAGGTTCCTCAACAAGATTTTGATTGGTCTCATTTGACGTTCTCTGTTGCATTTTTGTAATCATAATCAAAGATTACTGAAAAAAAAGTGATAAAAGTATTTCACATTTAAAATAACATGTTGGGGGGCAGATAAGATGTCAACGAGGGCCACATTTGGCCCCCGGGCCTTGAGTTTGACACGTGATCTATTGGATCCAACAACGCTTAAAAACAGTTTGCTCTGAAGTGAAACAGCTGCTGTGAAGAAGAAGAAGACTCGTCAACTTGCCACAATACTCAGAATCTTCATCAGAGTTGTCCTGGCAGTCATCATCCCCATCACACTTCCAACGCAGTGGTATGCAGTGACCCGTGTGACACTGGAAGCTGCTGGGATCGCAAGTATGGTGGCCCACTGGGGTCAACCAGAGAGAGCAAAGGCAGGGAGAAACTGGTTAAACAAGTTGTGCACAGATAGTCTGAATCTGCAGCATGCTCTTTGTGCTGACAGCGCTGCTTAGATTTGACATTTGACCAGTTTTTGTCATGATGTTGTTAAAGGAACATTTCTGAGGAGGGGGGTTTGCTTCTTTAAACCTAAATGATTTGATGAACGGTGCAGGTGCTATGTGTTGCCATAATGAGGCGGTGTGTGCAAACCTGTGCAGTTGGCTTCATCTGACCAGTCTCTGCAGTCGTTGTCACCATCGCAGTGCCACGCCTCACGGATGCAAACGCCTCGTGCACACGTAAACTCTCCGGGGCCACACTGATGAGTCTCTGAGGAATTAATATAACAACAAGTTAGTGCATGTACAATGTGTGTTGGTGTTTATATTATTTTATGTATTGAGTGGATTCATGTAGTGTTTTAATTTTAAATAGAGCTGTTTTGCAAAACCTTAACTGCGAATTATCCAAACTTTTATATTTC